TCGACGCTGAAACCGGCCGTCTCGCTCGCCCTTCTTTGATGTACCGCGCATCGTGAAAATCAGTGCGTATTTGCCATCCGTACGTAATTTTCTTTTCTACCGGTTGGGCGCAGATTTTTCTCACAGCCCCATGGTGAAATAAGCAGGGCTCGTTACCCGCCTTAATCCATCGATTTCATGGGGTACCTTCGTCTCAAAAGTAATGTTAGATTCTGATTGAATTTGATCTTTTTCAACTTGGTCTAGGCATTTTTATAGCGTAATTGCTCAATGTTTAGAACTGTTTAATTCACTAATCAGAGTGCAATTTCCGTTTTTGAGTTTGAATACATACATGCATGCATATGAATATACATTCCTCGTTAAAATTTGCCCTCGTTTGGGGGACAGAAACTATAGGCATACCCTTAAACAAAATAAAATAAGCTTCGAATCTTCCTAGTAATGACAAGTGCATTCCAAGCAACATTTCGTTTTTGATCGTTTATCATAAGGAAAGACAAATTGACTTGTGAGGAATGCCTTCACGTGGTAGGTTTGAGAGGCGACTCTTACGACCGTATGACGGAAGCGGTAAATAAAGGGGAAGAAGATGATGATAAAGAAAAACAACGATAAGGGCTCAATGAGGGATGTGAGAAATAAATCCGCAATGAAAACAAAACGTTGAGAAGGAAGAAGAATCGGGAGATAGGAAAACTGAGAATAAGAACAACATAAAGGAGAGCAGGAATATGGTTTCTTTGTGCCAGGCATTATTGGTGAATATCTTCGACCTTTGATGTGTTGTTTGCTTTCTGGACCGGCAACCGCAGAGGCCAAGTGGGAGCTAACCGTATAGAATTTGCTGATAACACATGTGTATTCGCACCTGTCCGAAATTACGTTGGTTTAATGCGATTGAGTAATAACAATTGGATTGTTAACTATGTCTGGACCATCCTGGCCGGACTGAAGCTGAGTCCATTGAAATTAAGGGATGTAGTGTTTCATTTCTTCCGCTTTAAAAATGTGTTATTGGGCTTAGGTCAATATCTAGTAGCTGTGGGTTGTGCGATAGACAAAAGTCAAGTACCTCCGACTCATCCGGGAGGACAGCATGAAGTGGTAGAAGCACGCTGTAAGCGTAGGTTAGTAAGTGCACAAAGTTGTCTGTTG